GTGCGTGCGCCCAGCGCGCGCAACGGGGGTGGCCCCCATATCCACCATCGCATCAGCATCAGGCGGAACTGTTTCCAGACTCTGTGGGTCGGTCAGGTCCAAGTCGTCACCAAGTCGAAGGGTCTCCGGCAGGGGAGTTGTGTGTGATTCAACGGCGCTCCATTCCGCGATGGTGGGTGACAGCTTCTCGATGGTGCTCGCCACGTTCTGCCACTTTCTGTCCCGTATCGCGGCCCCAACGGATCTCAAACACTGCAAGCTTGCGAAGAGCGTTCGAGCCCGTGCTCGGTCAAGGACCCTGAGTAGGGCCAGCCTAGTATCCTTCTCCGATGGTTTCTCGTCCGGTTTCCCCTCATAAGGTGACAGAAGAGCATCCCAGAATGGAGCTGCCGTTGATTGCGTGCCGGGACTCAGAGTCGGCCACTGACCGCATGAAAGGGGGCGCATCCAGGTGTTGCAATGCTTTTCGTCCACAACAGCCCGGTCCGCGCAGTCGACTCCGTCTTGTTTCCACTCGGCAGTGGTCCCGCCATGCTCCCATTCTAGGAGTCGATCTTTGTTGGCGATCTCGCCCAATCTGGGGTAGCAGTGTGAATTTTTGGGTCCAGCGGGAAGGAAAGAAAAAAAGTATGAAGATTTTTCCTCCCTATGTTACGCATCGAGTACTGTCCAGCGAGATATCAATGGGCACATGTCTCTCCAGGAGGTGCATTTCTCAATCTCCCACGGCTCAGGCGTCGTTTCCAGGATAGGTCGACGTCGCTGTGGGCAAGTGTGTACTCGCTCCGAACGCGGATATTTAAGAGCACGCCGCATCGCATGACAGCATGGCCGATCTTGCCAGTGTTGACTATCGTGATATGTGACCGCCGCGACAGCGACAGTGTCGCCTTCGGTGAGCGACTTTCCTCCATCAATTATGCCGCAGCCTCCCTCTAACGAATTGGCGCGGACCTGAGCAATGAAAACATTGGGAGAATGATCGTCGGCGCCCTGAGAGAGACACTAACAGCTGGGGTATCGCTCAACGAACGGAGACAGGTGGTTGCTATAAAAAGAATACCTCCACGAGTTTCCCGCCAAGGAATGCCGCCCCGTCGTTCTGCGGAAGAGCCAGGTCAACTACGCTCGTGACACGTTGTCGGCAACTCTCGTTCGGGCAACACCCCTGGAGCGCCGAGGGGTCACCGCGCACCATGATAATCGCAAGAGCCAACATCCATGCGTTTCCAACGACGACGTGCGCGCCCGCGGGTCCGTCGTCGGCGTCAGTCACGACTGATATGTGGAAAGCTTTCGGGTTGTGCGTGGGGCCCTCGGGGTTCTTCCAATTGCGCAGAAATTCGCTGACCTCTCTTATGCGTCCTGCGCAGTCATCGGTGGCTGCGAAGGAAACAAGGAGCGAAATGGCGAACACTCGCTGGGCGCCGGCTACTGCCTGTCCCATTATTCCTGTCCTACGATACAACTCCCCAGCGGTTTCGTCGTCGCTGGCGCGGTCGTGCCGCTGTTGTGCGGCAGCTGGTCCGAACAAGTTGGCCCAATGCCGCTGGAGCGCGGAGCTGCAACCTGCAGGCGCCACCTCGGAGGAACTTGCGGAAACGTAGCAGGAGGGGAGCTTCTTCCCTCGATCGCGCTTCGTCGTAAGCCAAGAATACTGGCGAAGGAACACTGCCGGCCGAGTGCCAGGAGGCGCCAAAGCCTCTCTCCATATGGGTGATGTAGGGTTGTCGTAGATATCAAGGCGACCAGCGGCGCTTCTCCCAGTCCTGCAATGTAAGGTCTTGCGATGGTCCTCCTCCGCAACATGTCCTTCAACTTGGTACTGCGATTGGAATCTATAGCGACCGCCACGCGATGAAGCCCGGGGCATGCTGCGCGAGCCGGGGATCTCTTCGTCGGCGGGACGGGCAGCGATCCAGTCCACCCAGTCGCGTTCTTTTTCCTCGCGCCCCTTCGAGCAGTGGAAAATCCTGCCCATCTTAGTTTCCTCTTGCTCGTGGTGTCGTGTCTACCTAAGTAGTCTACCTACGTTCCTCCCCTGTCTGTGTTAGTTCGCAGTCTATCTTCATGATGGATATCTACCACGAGCAGGGCAAGAGTACCTTGAAGAAATCGTCGCCGTTACCTACCAGGGTTATGCGTGGTTTCTTCGGTGCGGCCTCAATTAAGATTCAGAGTCACCTATGGAAAACAAACTCAGAGACACGACTTTTCTTGACCGGGGAGCCTGCTTTTCACCTGAGCAGCTCCGTGAGCCAACATTCCTTGTTATCATTTTCCGGGGGTGCTGCGAAAAATTTGCATCCTGATGGGAACAAGTGAGCGAGCCTTCAGTTTTTGTGTCTAATAGAATGTTGCTTCATGGCCGTTCTATGCGAGGTGGGACCGTCCATAGTGGCGCGGATGCAATCTGACCCTGAGGGCGCCGATCTCGTTCTGGATTCCCATGTTTATTCCACGAATAGAAAATAGATACTCCTCTCCGAGAAGGCTCCCCGCGCTTGCAGCATGCGTTCGCCCCTTTTTTTTCGAGGCCACAAGAAATATATTTTCATACTCAAGAAGAAGCCCCTCGCCCTATTTTTTGGATCCTACTGGCGAGAGACTCCGCCGACCATCATCATGACGTGCCTTCCAGTTTCGTTCCCAGTCCTCGTCTACGAGAATGCGTCTTCGCGGAAATCCGACATGGAAAGGCAAATGTGGTTCTTCTGCAAAAAAAATGACAAACGCGAGCACATCTCCTCTAGTTCCACGGCGATTTCGCGCTGATTCTTCTCCGGCGACTCCCAGAGGTGGGAATATGATTCCCCGGCCCCCGAGGCTCTGGCCAAAAGAAGGAGGTCGAACCACTCACGGCCCTGAAGGTGTCCACTCAACACATACTTCGATGCTGCCTCGAAAACCGGACGGAGTCTTCGCGAGGAGTACGGACAGGGTACACCAGTCAGACCGTCGCCGCACGAATCCGCCATTTCCCTCTGGACGAGCACCCTCACACGCGCGGGACCAATGCGCCGTATCAAATCATATCAAGTGCGAATATTTCTCGTTCGATGGCGTCGGACAGCAGAGCCGTTCTGGTGCACGCTTCCGGATGGAAGTCTTCCTGCTCATCCACCTCCACGCCCGCACGCTGGATGTCCGCAAATATGGAAGCCAGAGCTTCCCCTTTGGCACGAGGAAAAACATTGTCGATTATTTCCAACGCCGTTAGAGCCGCACGCGTTCTACTGAGCGATGCTCTTAGCATGAGGACACCCCGACTCTAGTGAAAAAAAACTACACTGGCTAACTTAGTAAAAAGGACACGTCCTCGCATGTTTCGTAAATGTGATCGGTACCACACCACCGGATTCCCCACCATGGGCGTCTCTCTGAGCTGCATGGAATCCCCCTGCAGGGCGGCACGCATCTGGCAGATCCGGCACAGGGTCCGCGATATATCCGCATCGACAGGGTGCCAGTAGAAGCATTGTGGTTTCGTTGCGAGGGGCTCACTTTTGAACGGAAGACAAGACTTCACCAACGACCGCAGATGCAACCGAAGCTCGTTCGGACTGCTAAAATCCGATAAAGGCGAGATCACGTGGGTTATTCCTGGCTAGAAGGAACGCATTTGCCTCGACGATGAAGGGAATTTCAACTACGGGAGGGCGAGGCAGGTAGACCTGGAAAAAGATCCGCAAGTGAGATGTCATAGTCGATAGTTGGTCGTTCGGAGTTTCTGCGTCGTTCCACGAACTCCACCAAATCCCCGTACGCCGAGGCGATTTCCAGTCCCCCATCCAAGAAGTGACTGAGGCACCTCATCTCGATTTCGGCATCGACGTCAAGCGTGGGAGGAGCGCAGTTCCTCGACGCGATCAGGGCGATGGCACTTGCGGGTATCGGAGGACCTTCCCAGTTCGCACTTGCCGTGAGCTCGTCGGCCACGATAAACTTCAGACCACCGACCGTCAGGCTGAGTGGCATGTCCGGATGGATTAGATCACCGCGCCGTCGATACGACACGCCATCCACGCGGATGCGAGCGGAAGCCTGAAGAGCCGCTCACTCATGGATGGAAAATTCGAGACGGAGAATTTCGCAACAAAACCAGCGCCCACTCGCCAGCAAGGTTGCGCGACAATATGTTGGACTTCTGATCGCACCGCCCTCGTAACTCGAGGAAGGCCGTTCGCGCTTCCTCTTGTGCCCGTCGAGCCTCGTCCTTCGCGCGGCAAAAATCATGCGTCACACGAGTACCCGACTCGGCCGCCATTATTCTGAGGACACAGTTATCCACACGACGGGGCTTCACGATAACTCTAAAAACGCAGCGTGTAGTGACGAAAAATACTGCGTAAACCACTTAGTGCACCTTTGTCATTCCTTTTAGCGACTCTTCCTAGTGAGATTTTCCTAGTGGCGATGATGTGAAGCCTCGCACGATCCTACTTTTTATGGGCTCGCCATCCTTTATAACACGAGTCATTGTGGAGAGCGCTCTAATTTCACGCCCCGGCCACGTTCGAGGTCCTTGTGGCCAGCAGGTGCGAACACGTGATAACTATGTCGCTTCGTAGACGTGTTTCGCTTCGAAGAAAATAACCATTGGATACGCCGCGATCAGTCGGGTAGTTACCACATAAGATATGCATATGAACAGAAGCCAGTGTCGAGTCATTGAGTGAGAACGATTCAGCTCGTCAGAAAATAAGATCACTCAAAGGGGATTAGTTTTGAGGGGGTGGCCGGGTCAATTCGCCTTCCTCTTTTTATTGCGCGCGAAGATCTGCGCGTCATCATATGCACGCCCAGGAACCTCTGCCGGAGAGAAACCCTCAGAAGATGTCGCTGCTCGAGTATGATGCTTCTGCGGCGGATCCCGGTAGCCTCGTCTTTAACGTGCGCGGAAATAGACACAAGGGGGACAGCGCGATCCTCCAACAAATACCGCGCAAAGTCGTAACTCAACGCATCGGAGCGAGTACGGACTTCATCGCCAGAGACGAATTTGTAAAAGACCCGCTTACCGTGGATTTGCCACCGGCACTTGCCACGCCGGCCCGGCGAGACCGCAAACGTCCCCGCTTTTTGTTGCCATTCGTTGAAGACACTAAGGGGCACTCTAATCGAAATAATATCGAAAGACCGACTGTCAGAGTCATACACCATGGCGAAAGCTCAGATATGTGTTGCGGCGCAGTTAAAAACAAAAAAATTTTTCCATACCTAGAAGGTGGCTACTCACTCGAGCTGCCGAAATTGATTTTCTACGAAAGCTTGCGCCGATCACGATTGTAGGCCAGGCTCTTGCCCGGAATACACTAATATCATCTACGAGACGAGCGCGCACTTGAGCACAGTTTTCAAATCAAGACACAGCGCTCAGCCCGCTCCTCATTCGGCACCAGTACACGCGAACGCACGACCTAAAAAACTGAAGCTCCAGCTCTGCGATGGAGGTGCCCAGCTATCTCTTGAAACAAGATAGGTGAGGGAGAGGCGCACTCTGCGACTGTGTCGTCGCTCTGGTGCTGTGAGGTATAGAAAACGACTCCCAGTAGTGGTTTCACAAAATAAAATCATTCGCCCTTTTTCTCGTGTGAGAACGACACTGGGCGCGCTGGTCATCCTTCCTATCTTATGTGTCAACTCCAGGCATGCTGCTTGCGTTTCTTCCCGTCCCCATCGGCAACGAACTTGCCCAACAAGTTCATGCGTCGCGCGTGGCGTCGATCGTCGCGTCTGCCGCCTTCTTCCTCTTCCTCGGAGGAGCCGCGAACTCGTCTTCTCCAGGCTCTTCTTGTCGAAGACGAAAGGGGCGAAGAAACGCTGGCACACTTTCCCAGTCCTGCGCTACTACATGCGTGAACGTCTCTGCAATACTGGAGAGGCACTCTAAGAGTATTTCTGCGGCAGTAGTCATCACTTGGCAACCGCTCTCATCTGCCTCTGGTGCAACCTTAGCCAGCAAAGACGCAACCTCCCGAGTCAAAGCGTCGAAGAACAGGCCACGGAGCGAATTCCTTGCCCAACAAACGCCGCCGCCCTCGCCGCAAACTATCGCGTCGTAGATCTTCGAGATTTGTTCGCGGTTGGCGACTTCCCTGCAGTGTTCGATCAAACGCGCACGCGCCTCCTCCTTGACTGCGTCAGAATCGTGCGTCAATTGCGTACGCAAAACCTCCTCGCACTCGTGGACACTGCCAGACGCAGCGTTTTTGTCCCCGCCAGAGAGACTGACTCGTCCCTGCAGTAGACTGAGCACTTTGGCGATGCTTCCGGGCGCGCATGCCCGCATATTCCATCCGTATTCTGACTCGCATTCTAACAACTGCTGGCAAAGAAGGAAACGCGCGTCGGACTCCTCGATTTTTCCCTCGGACACGTTCAGCATCAGGAACCCCTGCACAAGCGACACGGCCGCCGGCCCGCTGCAGATCATCATCATGCCACCAGAAGCCGCTGGCAGCTGATTCCAAAATCGATCCAAAGCGAAGTCGACGGCCTCCACGACTGCTGCGCAGTCCTGTCCGCTTGCGATGGGCGCCTCACTCTGTAGCCGGGCGAGAACTCCTTCCGGCCGCACAGTCCGCGCTAATGCACTGCGGAGCTCCTCCTTACTCACCATGGCTTCACTCTCCGGCTTTGCCTCGCCCTTTTCCGCTAGGACCTCCCTTGCTGCTTTCGCGCACGCTTTGAGGTGTTCTGTCGCGAACGCCGTGTGCACATTCTGCGCATCAGCGGCAAAGCCACGCATGTCGCTGCCGCGAGCGAGACCGCCCGGACACGGGCAGT